TGTCGGTCTGGCCCTTCTGGAACCCTTGGGGCGCCATCTCCGGCCGTTTCTTGACGAGCTCGACGAAGGCGGCAGTGGTAGGGGCCTCGTAGAACGAGCTCGGCGTGATCGCGACGGCCTGGTCACTCGCCGCCGCCGCTATTGCTGGCTGGTCAGCGGTCGAGGCCGGCGGCGCAGTGGGCACGGTCTTCGCGCCCTCGGTGGTCGCGGTGCTCGGAGTAGGCGGGGCTACATGCTCGCCGCTCGATCCCCAAGTAACCCTCGTCTCGTTCGTCCCTGTCCCTCCCCCTTTGGACTGCTCAGGCCAGTCTCGGCCTGCAGACCATGACGCAAGCCCGAGGCTCTACCCCAGCCCGCGTCAGACAATGACGCGGCCGTCGCGGAGCGTTGCTCGGGCGCAGGAGACTCCTGTCGTCCCGGTGTCCAAAGCCGTCGATCCTCCGGCGGGTTGGAGACTGGCCGCCTGTCGCGGTCGTCCCTGGCGTCCGAAGGTCGAAGGGATGAGGACGTACGTTTGGGCGGATGCTCGGGCTCGTTGAATCCCCCGTCGGGCTCGCGAAACCTCTTCCCTCCTGAGTTCCTGCGGGGGCCGCTATTCGATTCGTGTCCCCCCTCGCAGCACTGAATATGTTGGTGCTGGGTATTGTACTGATAGCGGCGCCGGCATAGGTGGATCGAGTGACGAGCCTCTTCGAGGTCGCCGCGCGTGTTTTCAAGCGTGACGAACTGAATATAATTGGTCTCCTCGAGCTGAGCGATGCGCTGATGGCAAGCCTCCAAGGTAGTCGGGAGGTTGGCACCTCGGTTGACAATAGCGGCGGGCATAGGGTTACGGCGATACATGACAGCAAGATGTTGCGTAGCGAGCAGAAGGTCGGCGTTCGAGTTCAAGTGACTTTGAACTCCGCTTCGTATCCCGCCACGCTATTGTTCGTGCGCTGGCGGGAGTTGCCGAGTAGCGCTGGCGAGTAGGCGCTCATTAGTCAGCGGCGTGAGCGCCTTTCGCCGGCGCCTTTCCGGGGTAACTCCTCGGGCCGTTTGACGCCCTGCAGCTCCAAATAATGATCTAGCGCCTTGAGTTCATTGCAAGAGGATAATGGCTCCCATGTAGCCTCTCCTATTTGCCATCGTACAAGTAGCTGTAACGTGTTTTTATTCCATCGATGAGCCATAATTTCCTCGACGAGCCATTCAACATCTTTCGGCTCTCCGAAGTCATATGCAGTGTAGGATTCACGATGGGGGAATAGATTATCGTCGTTCCCTTCATGTCGTCTAAGTCTGCTCACATGAAACGTAGGGTGAATACGTCTCTTCGCCAGTTCGGGCGGTAATTTAAGTTTGTAGGTAGACTTAGCGGGGTCGCTCTCCTCAACTTCATAAGGACCAATGAATCGGGGCATCAACTTCCGAGCCCGACCCTTAGGTAAATTAAGATTCTCCGTGGACAAGTACACTAGATCGCCTGGGGTAATTGCCTCATCAGGTCGATGTCGTTGATTGGCGTAATGAGATTGAATAACACGACTCTCAATGATCGCATCGTGCGCATGCGCTAAGTTCAACAGTGCGCGTTCGGCGAATTGTCGAACGCCTGGCATGACAGGATCAGGGTCCAATGTGGTGGCAATACGCGGCATAGTTCCATAGTTCAATTCAAATGGGGTGTATCCCGTGCTCTTGCTGATACTAGAATTGATTGCGAATTCAACCATGGGGATTTTCTGAACCCAGTCAGTTTGGCTCGCATTAACTAACGCGCGTAAGATCTGGGACACCGTTTGTATAGATCGTTCGGAAGCTCCGTCGGTTTGAGGGTGGAATGCCGTAGACATTAATAACCCAGTGCCTAGGAGCTTATGCAATTCCCGCCAGAACTTCGCCGTGAATTTAGAGTCGCGATCTGATACGATAGTATCAGGCATCCCGTGAAGCCGAACTATATGGTCATAATATAGCCAAGCTACGTCCGATGCTTTGGCAGTGGTCCTCGTAGGAATCAGATGTATCATAGATGTTAGTCGGCATATCACGACCCATAGGTAATCATATCCTTCAACCGGCGGGAAAGGTCCAACGAAGTCCATACCGATTGATCCCCATGGGCGAGTAGGTATCGGCATAGAATGTAGTAGTCCCATGGGTCGCTTAGGTGAGTCCTTCGTGGTCTGACAAGTACCACACGATGCACAGTATCGTTCCACTTGGTCTCCCATCTTGGGCCACCAGTACCAACGACGTACGTATGCGAATGCTCGAGCAGCGCCTAAGTGTCCGATTGTCCTATGACATTGGTCTAGCACGATTTCATTGATACGACGCTTCTCAAATTTGACGTGAGGGATACATAGCGAGAACGTAGAGTCGGGCAGTTTGCACCATATGTACCCGTTCTTGAATATGAATGCCTTTTGGGCAGTATCCTTATTCAATTTCGAGAAAAATTCATCCTCAGCGTATCCTTGTGAAATAGCTGTCATTATGTGACGATCACCTTCGATCACCTCGTGAGGTGATTTACGACTCGCTATTGAGTTGGCGATAGTAGGGTCGTCATCGTCGTCATTGGCGCGTGCATCATCAGAAGGTACCTTAGATTCCTTTGGCGGCTTGACCTTAGTGACTACAGATTGAGCCATCTCCGCAGCCTCCTTGCGTCGAGATTCCTGAGTCACTAAGTCCCTAAGACGCTGTGATCGTCTCGGCAATGGGGCTCCTGTTAACTCAGGACCAACAGTGGCAGCTCTAAGTTCTTCAAGCCGAATGGGAGGCAAATCTTCTCCATTCGGGTCAAGACGCCTGTCGGCAGCAACATATTCATCCTCAGGCTGCAAATCATCGACATTATCGCTTTCGTAGTAACGCGAAAAGCAGTCAGCCACTTTGTTTGATTTGCCCTTAACATAATGGATAGTGTAGTCGAATCGACTTAAGTACTCCATCCATCTAGTCTGTCGATGAGATAGTCGCTTCTGAGACTTGAAGAATTCAAGGGCTTTGTGATCAGTCACTATGGTTATAGGGCGACCAATCAATTTGTCTTCCCATTTCAATAGAGCTTCCAATATAGCAATGGTCTCATGTTCGAATGTCCGATATGCCTGTTGAGCCGAAGTGAACTTCTTTGACATAAATCCAGCAGGGCGACACGTCCGCCAATCCGGTCCCTGACCGTATACAGCTCCAACGCCTGATACCGATGCATCACAGATAACCCATATAGGCTCTTTGACTTTAACGTCGATAGGTTTAAGGATCGGGGCCTTGCAAGCCATTGCTTTGATCGATTCGAAACATTTATCATGCATTGGTTGCCAAGAAAATGAGCGGTTATCTCGACACATGCTTGCAAGCGGCCCAGTATAGGCTGTCACATCAGGCATAAAGTGTGCGAGGTACTGCACAAGGCCTAGGAACCGCTGTACTTCATTGAAGTTACGAGGCGTTCTCCATTCACGAATGCGCGCCATCTTGTCTGAGTCCACATGAAGTCCACGATCATCAATTACATGACCTAGGCAGTCCATTCGCTTCAAATAGAGGTTGCACTTGGTTTTACTCAAATACAATTGATACTGCCTGAGACGATCGAATACCATCCCTAAGTGTTTTTCATGATCCTCAATAGAATCCGAAAATACGAAGATATCATCCAGATAGACATGTACAAACACTCCAATGAATTCACGGAATATGAATGTCATAAGTCGTTGAAATGTAGCCGGCGCGTTTGTATCGCCTTGCTGCATGACGTAGCTGAGAAAAGTACCGTAGATAGTGGCGAATGCCGTTTTCCATACGTCCTTTGGCTCGACTCGGATTTGTTCGTAAGCGTCCAACATGTCAATTTTCGAGCGGAATTTTGCCTTCGCAACGTCCATACGAATCTGATCTTGGTCTGGGAATGGTGTTACGTCGTGCAGCGTGTTGTCGTTACGCTGTCTGCAATCCACCACTGTCCTCAAACGACCATCTTTCTTTGGGATGCATAGGAGAGGAGCAG